AGCACTAGCAACGTCGATAACGCAAATTTTCGGTGATACAAACACCGATGGCCTGAAATATCAGCAAGACAACGCCACTTGCCACAAGTCCGCGCATACCATGAAGTGGTTTGCTGAAAATCATATTGATCTTTTGGACTGGCCACCACAATCACCAGACCTCAACCCGATTGAGTATATTTGGTCCATTTTAAAGAAAAATATCCGCAGGCACTCGATTAGCAATAAACAAGCTCTATTGGCCGCGTTACAGCAGGAATGGAAAAATATATCAAGAGAAGAATGTTTCAGGCTGGTAGAGTCAATGCTAAAAAGAGTGGCTGCGGTTATTAAGTCAAAAGGTGGACCTACAAAATATTAATTATTTTCTTAAAATAAACCATTGTAATCATAAATGCAGTTTTATTTACACTCGCTATGCTAAAACACCCTAAAACTTGTCTTACTGTAGGGTGCCTAATACTTTTGCCCGTGGCTGTATATGTTGCAGCTTATTCGAAAGATTTTATATTTTACGTAAGTTATTTGATTATTTTAAGGTATTCCACGTAACGAGTTTTGTAATGGAGAAGGGCTTAGGGAAAGGGGAGGCGCTACGAGCCAGCGGTGCAACCCCTTGCACCATTCTTGACTTTCAGTAGCCTGCGAGACATCACACGGAGCGGTCGCGCACACAGCCGTCCTGGGAAACTACAAACTTTTCACGGGACTCAGAAGAAGAATATTGAAAGTTTACCGCCCTCCTAATCACTACATCGCGTGTGTTATATCCGATGATGGCTAACGATGTGTTTCGTTCCTTAAAACGTTATCGAGGTGTTATTTTTCAGTTTTTATGTTAAAAACAAGTTGTCATTATATTTAATGCCACATTCGTGTTAAGCTTGTTTTGGTGGCATCCAGCGTGGGATACGTGGACTTGTTTCTTTCTAGTCATTTATATTCAAAGATAGCAATGGATCTCACAAATTTCCTTAAAATAAGTAATATGATATTAACTTTTATCATATTGGATTGTCTTCTAGCTCGGAATATAGACGCAACTATACGTAAGTATGCTAGACTAAAATTAATAATCCATAATGTAAGGTATACGTTTCGTGATTCCATAGCGTTTCTTTAAACCGATAATATTTTCTATGGTGGCTTTAACTCGCTGGTGAAAGGTCAATGTCATAATGTACTTTTATGATTTAATATTTCGTAATCCCTTAGGTTGTATTAAGCTCAAGTTTTGTTTTTGATTTGTTTTGGAAAAATTACTATTGCAATTTATTACTTTTTATCATAATATGTATATATTTACAGAAAATAGTTTTTATATTTACGATACTATTACTATGATACGATCCAGTTTTGATTAATAAATATATACTTTTCTTTATAGTAACTTTTGGTATAAAACTGATAATAAGGTATATGATCAGAGACGCTAATTATAGATTACGATAACGAAAAATGATATGAGTTCAAATAATTGAAGTGACACATTAAATTTTAAATTGATTCCAAATGTATTTCTGATCTTAATAAACGGTGTCATTCACATCGATATTTATAAAAACCATTTTAAGTTACAATTTTAAAATAACAAAGGTTATGAAACTTTCATCATTTTAACAGACAGTTCTGAGAATTAATAATTTAACGAACGAAACATGTACTGGAAGAAATTCCATTCAGAGAGAGGATTCGATGTTTTGGATGATAACAAAACATCAGATGTACACGAAACTTGAAATAGATTTTTGTTAATTAAATTGGTTGAAGTAGTGTTTAAGAAATGTTTAAAATATTAACTAGGAGAAAACTTACTAAGTAAAGTAGAAGAAGCCAAGCTATTCTAACATGGTACAATATGATCCAAGTCTAAAATAAAGTTTATATAAGTAGTCATCGTTGTTTCATAAAGCTATTCATTTATTTATTCACTCTTAATTGTTTACTGGTGACAGTATGTTTGATTATTTTATAAGCATTAATTTTATTTATCATTTTAGAAATATCATGTTGAGCACGTGCATGTTGTTTACAACGCTATCAAGAAACGTGTTATATTTTGGTAGCGGATGTTAAGTAAAATACATTTGCATACATTTTTTATGAAAATTAAACTAAGACATGCGGGAAAGAATTTTCATTCTCAAAAATTTAAGTATTTTGTCTAGAATTTTAATTATAGAAAAACGAGGAATATTTTTCTGTTGAAAGTTTTATTTAGTTAAGGGTGATTATTTTTTAATACACGAAATGTCTTTAAAATAATAATAATATATTTATCTAAACAAATCCTTGAGTCGGTCCATGTAAGCTAGTTTGTGAGAACAATAAGACGACAAACAATTTAGAAAAGTAATTTTTATGTTTATTATTTTGAAGAATTATTTTATGTTTGATATAAATTACGTTTTACGAAAATATAACATTTTGAAGCTTTTGGAGCTGTAAACAATGGCAGTTTTTTTAATTATTTCGTTACAAAATTAAGGTAAGACGAAACGAAGTCATGTATAAAAGCAAATCTTCACCTTAATATAATATACACATTACAACAAGGGATTAGAAAAAATATACATGAATTGAAAAATTATTTACGATAAGAGATTTATAGAAACATAAACCCAATATGAGCACTAAATTTGTCATTTATTTTTTTAATACAAAATATTCATATTTCTTTCAACTAGTAATATTTATGTGTGTGATTGTACCTCAGTGTTAAATAATTATATTTAAACAAATCTATCAATATTACTTATAACTGAACTCGTATTTTTACTTCTTTATCAAGAAATTATAACTATCTCATAACTTTTAGGTACGCGAAATTTATCATCTCAATCATTTCAGTCAGTTTTCATTCAAAATATTGTTTTAGAAAAATACAAAGTATATTCTGTTAAAACAATTAGTAATTATTACCATTAAATGATTAAATTATCATAATTAAATCTGTAACTTATTCTAGGTAATAATCAAACATAAAATCAACTTCGGACGCAAGCTAAGTAGTGAGAACGAAGATTTATTAGTGGCAAAACTTTTGCGGTAACTCTTCATGACCTGCAATATATCACTGCTGCACTTAGCCTCTGACATTTTATTTGGCTATCAATATATATATTTAAAAAATAATAGCACTATTTATTAACGATACCTTTTGTTTTTGGAATTCTCGTTAATGTTACATTGAAATTATATGCTTTTGACGTCTTTTTTGGTTTTTATATTCTTTTAAATAACGAATATATATTTGTACTAGTTTATAAAATTATTCATAGAATTAAAGCAATTTCGTAAATATATAACAAACAAGTCTAAAAACTTTGCGTCACTTTTGCTTTGTTATCTGAAAAGCCGTAAAAATGTTGGGAGTGAAAGCCATAAATAAAGCAACGCGTATTGCACAGTCAATCTCTCAGGCTAAATCAAAAAAACTCAATACACTTGAAATTGCAATTGGTTTATAAATTTCCAGACGACAATATCATGGTTTATATTGTAGAAACAGGGTTCATGAAGCTTCCGGACCTGTCACTGACAAATTGCAAACGCTCGCCGAACCTCATGCCACTAATTGACTGCGCGTCAAATTTAGCCGCGATAATCCAAATAGAAAGGGGCGATTTTAATACAAGGTTCCTAATCGCCGCTGTCACTACGATAACAACTTAATGGCAATACTGCTTGTTTTTTGACTGTGACATTAATTTATTGGTTAAACAAGATCAAAGTGATAGCAAAATTTTAATATTGATAATTAGATACGTACATGTTGAGTATAAAAGTTTGTTTTTACGTACATATGGACTTATTGTATTGTATGTGTCAAATCCAAAGGAATGAACAAGTATGAAGGACGAATAGTTTTGAGAAATAACCCATATGGCAATAATAATTCGTTTCTCGAATCTATCTATCGTTGTTTTAATTTGATTCAGGAACTTCCACCCTATTTTATATGGGATTAAACTGTTGCTGTTGCATATTTAGAGTCGGAGGAGATACAAATTAAAGTCTTTCTGTTGCATACTTATGAATGCACAACATTTACCTAATGATCAGTATTATCTCTAAACAGTATTTCAGCTTAACGAGATCTAAGATTTTCGCGGGTATTCATTTAAATGAACAATGAACGAACATAGGAGATGTTGATGTTGATCACGGTTGCTGCAAAGTAACCGAAACGTCGGAAATATATAGTAAAAAATATATCCGTAGTAAGGCGAAAATATTTATTTCATTTAAGTATTTAAGCTTGTTCTGTTTCATACGATTTTATTATAATTTTTATTTCATAATATTTTCCAGTCATATAAATAGGTGGTAAGGTACGGCAGTGGCTCCTTAACTTTAAAGGACTTTACGAGTATATGTTTAATCACTATTAGTACTTGCTATTTAATTTGTACTTTGCAGGTAACAGATGTAAAAGAAAAAATATATATGATCAAAATAAAATAAGAGTAAAGAAATAATGTAAGATTTAATTACTCATTATTTCATAAAATACTTAAGATTGATTGTATAAGCTACGTTGATATGGATTTAAAGGAGATTATCTAGAGGTCATACTATACTAGTTTTGACCTGAATTTGTTTGTAGTTTCGTGTGTCGCGTGTTAACCGACTAATTTAATCAAAACATGGTTTATTAAACTCTATTTGGCAATAACGCTTTGTCGCAGCTTCAAGTCACCTCTAATATACGTCAATAGACAGCTACTAAATAATGAAATCCTTTCCGTAGGTACTCAATCTTTAAATTGAATAATAAAGTATCGATACGACGATAATCGATCTATTATATGTTTTATTAATTAAAAATATGTAATCTATTATAAAACTTCTAAATGATACGACATTATTATAAGAATACTTCACAAATACAAATTATTAAGGTATACTATACAAATTCCAGTAATATATTGTGGAATAACGCAAACAGACTTCGAGATTAGTTAGTCTATTATAAAGTGGATTCGTGAAGGCTTAAAATGAAACGTGTTGGTAACATATTCCAGATATCTGCTTACAAACTATTATTATAGCCAGTTTTAAGCCTGAGTTTACACAAGATATGAAAGTTATTAGATGGCGAAACAAAATTAAACCACGACGTCATTGTTTATTTTATCAAATAGCAAAAAAAAAATTAATGAAATATTTCTACTTATTTATTTATTTTAAACAAATTTTTAGTATATGAAGAGGCATTATATCATTTAATTCTAGTGTCTACACTAGGGCCATCATAGAATGTCTCCTGTGATAACTATAAAGTTGATTAAACCCGATAACTTCTACTCATATTCTGCATTAAAAACAACACTTCTTTATCATTTAAGTCAATCGATAGATCTTATAAAAATATAGATATATTACAGAAAAATATAACTTTAATAAAAGAAAAAGAAAACCTAGAACCTCCTTTTATTGATGTCGGTTTAAAATAGATACAGACACACGTAAGCTAATGTTTACACGTTTAAACGGTAGCCCGGTCCCTAAACATTTGGCTTCATTACTATCTAAATTAATTCAAAATTCCGTACATTAACTGAGTTTGTATAACCCCTATGGATAACTTTGATTTGTTTTTACTTCATTGTTTATTATTATTAAGTTACTAAACAATATATTCCACTGGATGATTTTCAAAGTGTACCAAATTTAAATCTTGTTCTCAGTTATAACGATTTGTTTAGCTTTCCTAATGTTATGGTATTTTATACAAATGAATATTCAAACACTGATTACAATTTTATTACAATAATTTAATTAAAAACGAAACAAATGGATTGCTTGAAATTAATAATTTGAATTAAATTTAATTATAAATAAACATTATTAATTTCTTTAGTTATAAACTTTGAGTCTTCTAAGAAAAAACATGTGATTTAATTAAAATTTTCTACTATAATCTATGAAATACTCGCAGTAAGCAACTGAATATAATACTAAGAAATATCCCTTTAAGATCTACAGCAATTTCGAATTCACGGTAAATAGTTTTGTTCCGCAGTGAGCTTCACTTTATTGTGTAAAAATATAAAACTACGCAGTTAGATGTGTATTTATTTAGCAGACGTAGTAGACAGGAAATATTTTACAGAGTTATCTTATATTTTCTTTAATCTGAAAACATCACAATTTTTTTATCAAAGAAAATTATTTAGGTCACAATAATTAAAATCTAATTATTGTCTATAGCTCTAGAAAAAATAAATATTCATTAAAAAATTCTTTTTCGTCTAAGATCTTTCTTAAATTAATTCATTACATTCTTTTTGGTATTCGTAACGAATTGTGAAATTCTGTTTGATTGTGTCCAGTGGACTTATTAGTATTTAAACGATTTTAAAAAGAGAGAAGCAGTCACTTTATAGTTTTTTTATAACGCCAAAATTAAATTAAATGTATTAATATTTTTCTGATAGAAGTAAAGTTTTGTTCGATTGGGTAATTTTTCCCTACTTGTTGATTAATTTACAGCCGAGATTGATCTTCATCCTTACAAATGAATAAAAAAATATTTATGTTTACGGCCAGCTAAATTTTATTTAAAAAATGTACTTTTAAAATAATAAAAAAATAAAAATAAATAAGTATTATCGTATAAGCTTGTATGTGATAAATTAATTTGTTGCAGATGAGCCCGGTTTTAGTGGTCCTATAGAAAACGTGACAGCACCTCTGGGTCGGGAAGCAATACTCGCGTGCACAGTTCATAACCTCTCCACATACAAGGTGATTATTATTCCCTTATCGCATTATTACCTACCGCATTGTGCTAGCAATGGATAGCTATGCTCCTAATGCATTCGTTAAAAGGTTTTGTAAAGATGTTAGATATACCTTCGAGTTAAGGCGTATTGAATTATTTCCTGTATTCCTTCTTTGTGTCTATTTTGTCAATCATTTTCTTGTCGGAGTTTTGAATTTAAATTCAATTTTTTTTATTACCTAGAAAAAAATATATACAAATTTTAACTGTTATAGGAACAAGAAATCGTTTTAATAAAGTATGATTTTATGAAGTAGTAAGTTATAAATGAAATTTTTCAGTAAAATTTCACATGAACCATTGTGATTTGAAACTCTGAAGCAAAATCTTACACAATAACACTGTGTACATACGTGTTTCTTTCAAAGTTCCAACTGAAATTCACTAAGGCTTTAACAATATGTTGAACGTTGAACAGTAAAGTGAATACAGATTATGTGCATGGGAACAAGTTAAAAGTAAAGTGTTCATACTTAAAGAACTTGTCACAAGATAACGTTAGGGTAATCTGTTATAAGGAAACTTATAAAAGCTTTACTTAAGAATGTCACTTTATTACTATTATATGTACAGTATATAATTTATTTACATCATAAGTCGACCTAAAAGCATGTTGTAGCCTAAAGATATGTGTAGATGATAAAACTTGCTCAAAATATAAACTCTAGAGCTGGAATACTAAATGATATTATCTGAGTTTATAAAGTTCACTTTAATAGTATGCAGGATCCTTTGTTCGTACTCTAGCAACAGTTCGTTAAGTTCTGAAATGTGCGGTGTATGTTGTCAATTCGATTTGCCTCGAAGTCCCGTAAGGTCTGTAACCTTATAAATATCTAAAATAGATAGTGCACTTAGCACCAAATATGAGACATCATACATATATGCCAGAGCAAGTAAATAAAATATTTGGTATATATATCTTTAAAGAAGTAACAATTTAATTAAATTTTTAATACAAGTTTTGATAAAGAATGTAGTTTTTCAAGGAAGCTATATTTTATATTACAATGTAGAGTTTTGATATTTTTTTATACACATGCTAAGTATGATAATGTAAATGTTTTATTTAGTCATTTATCACACCGAAGGAAAACGGCCAGCGGAAATCCGTACGCCTTAGAAAAAAATCTAAGCAACGTATATTTAAACAGAAAAGTGGCGTGATACATCTTCACTTCATGCCTTCAAGGAAACTGGCCCATTTTTAATCTATCTATTTAAAGCATAGGAATCTTAATAGCAGCTAGTTAATTTTTTTAAAGAAATTTATTATAAGCTCTTCGGCTCTGGTCGACAGATGATTTGTTGTTTCTACAAGTGATATTTTGTTTCCACGAATAGAAAATTTGTTTAAACATATATCAATTGTGTAGGTTGCGTGGCTAAGAGTGGACACGCAGACAATCTTAACGATACATACCCATGTGATATCAAGGAGTAGACGTGTTGGGGTCACTCACAGTGATCAAAGGACCTGGTTCCTTCATATACGCGAGCTGAGAGAAACAGACAGAGGATGGTATATGTGTCAAATAAATACAGATCCCATGAAAAGTCAGCTGGGATACTTGGATATAGTCGGTGAGTATCCTTCAACTAATATGAATATTCATTTATTAGTTATATACATATATAGAGAAATTGGAAAAGAATTGAAATGATTGTAAAAAAATATCGATGGAAATTCAAGGTCGAGAGAAATATGCCTTTAAAATAATTTTAAAGTTAAATATAGATTATTTTATTTTAATTTAAAATTATCAGATATAGAATATCAATTTTGATATAGATGCGTGATAAAAATGTAAACGCAATTACTTGAACGCCCTTATTTAACATTATATTTTCATTATCATTACAATGCATTTTTGTTTACTTTTATCAATAGGAATTTGAACTAAAGTTTCTTCACTGAAGCCCGTACTTATAATTTTTATATTAATTTAATAATTTTAAGTCATCAGGGCAGTGACAAAGTATATGTAGTACATATAATGTATAATATTAAGTATAAATGTGTTATTTTTTGTAATAGCACCAGCTTTTCGGACTTTATATATAATATAAAAATAGACAATGTTTAATGCATTGTTCATAAAATATTTTTACTTTTAAAAAGAAATAAACAAAAAGTGAAATGTTAAAAATAGGGACATTTACATTTTAATAAAAATATATATTTATAAATATTATGACAAATTAACACACAATGGTTATGTGAGTAGGACGTTTTTTGTTAAAAATATAAGGTTTATTGAAAGAGTCAGTCATATGGTTACAGAGTTGAAAAATATATTTTAGAATAGTTCCACGTGAATATGTTAAAATGAAATAAGGATAAAATAAATCCTAGTAAATTTTCTTAGTACCTGTACATTTTTATTGATATAATATTTCTATAGTGGATTCTATGGAACTGAAAATTATTCCAATATAGGACGTCCTAACGTTTACGTTATTTGAAACTCTTTTTGCTACACAAGGAAGCTGAAAATAGAAAGGCTCTCTCAATACTGACGTCATTTATATGTTAATCAAAATGAGTTTTCAATGTTTCAGTGCTATCTAGGCCCAGAGACAAAAGTTTTTCCAAGGAAAAGGTTTATTTGTTATTAATTTTTATTTGTTTCGTGATTAAAATTACATTTTTGAAACGTCAAATCGATAGTAACCTTATAAGTTTTTAGTAAATTGTATTGCATTTTCAACCTATGCAGTGAACATACGCTCAAGATTAGAAGATTTAATTTAAACCGAAACTAAAAAAATTGGTGTTGGTAGCTTATAAAATAATCGTTTATTATCAATTTTTTTCATAAATCGGCCTTAAAATATTCCTAACTTAAGTACTTTTTTAAAGGTTTTATCCAAGTCAATAAACTAGACATGTCAATAGTCATTACATTCGAAATATTTCAAGATATTTCTTCTTTCTTTTCTTTTCCTTTCCTTCTTTATAGTATATATGGTTTTTAGTTCCACCGGATATTCTCGACCGCGGAACAAGCGCTGATCAGACGGTACGAGAAGGGGCGTCGATAAGTCTAACATGTGCTGCCACTGGGTCACCACATCCTCAGATCACGTGGCGAAGGGAACATTCCAAACCCATCATGGGGTCAGATGGGTTACAAGGTATACTTCCTTATTTGCTGTCACATAATTATACGTACATCGTATTTAAACCACTAACTAAGGAAGCATGGTTTTGTATTTTTTATATTCTTTTAGAAGATACGATGAGTCATGGTTGAGATTTTATAATTTTTTTTATAGGCGCAAGATGCGAGTATTTCTAATATATTAGTTTGTTTATATTTTTGTTGTAAACGAAGCTTAATGTGTTTAAATTTATATGACAGTTTTGATATTTTACTGCAACTTTTATACTCCGATCGACTTATCAAAGGAAAATTATTTTATCATATGTCTTTTACGTAAAATCATAAGTTCGCTTATTCTCGCTTTATAATGCAACTTGAATACAGTTCAGAGAGGACATTTTTATAGAGAAATAAACAATATTTTATTTTTTTTTAATTCACAACGTATCACCTTGTGGTGTTTTTACCTATAATAAAGAGTTAATATCTTTAAAGTTCTATACAAAAGAAATAAAACTTACAGGAAATAAACAAAATCTAATCTATTAACTTCGTAAGACATTCATTAGAAAGCTGAGGTTTCTCATAAGTAAAATTAGAAGAAATTCCAGGTTATACTTTTTATGACGTTGTTATGAATAATACTTCACTTCAAATAAATTTACAACTAAACTTAAATCACAATAAAACCTTAATATACGGAAAACGTAAAAAAATTCTAGCTCTATATTTAATCAGGAAGTAATTTTAGAAAATGCATTAAAACAAGTACAGTTAGAATGGAAAATACTCACATTATTCTTTACGCTTAGAAAATAAGAGCAATAGTTTTATTTTTCAGTAAAGTAATTGAATAGTCATTTAGTAGTGATAACTTGCAATCGTATATTTTTTGTTTTGTAGATTCCATTACTTTGTTCATTGAATAGGATTTTTGAGAATATAAAGTGTATTTTACTTTAGTGACGTCATTGGAAGGTCCTGTCTTAAATATAAGCCGAGTGACTCGCCAGCATGCCGGGGCGTATTTGTGCATCGCTTCAAACGGTGTACCACCAACTGTTAGCAAGAGAATAATGCTTACCGTTGAATGTAAGTACTTTGCAACAATACGATATATATATATATACCACCAATTTGGTAATATTAAAGCTTTTTATAGAAAAACTATTTTAATATGATAGTTTATTTTTAATTGGGATCTTTGTAAATTCTGTTAAGCATTCGATCGTAGCGACGATAGGAGAAATAAAAATTGTACCATAAATGCCGAGTCGTGTTGATATTTTCGGAAAATGTATATAAAACCATAAAGAAAACACATACATGTAATTTAGTTTTTACTGGAATCGCTTAATGATACTCAATCAGTAGTCCATTATGTTTTTACTGGTAAGTTATTTCCTTGAAGCATAGACATTACTGTTCATTATTGGTTGGTACAAAGCATTTAAAACATTTTAATATCACAAACCCTCATAATAATAGAAAATCTACTAATTAAAAAAGAAAGTAGAAAATGTATTGTTAGCTTTGATAATAAAATAAGTCAGTTTGTTTATTTTATTTCTTTAAGCCGTCTCAATATTAATTTACTTTTCTATTTATTTTATGAAACATAACTAGCTTAAATAAAGACACCAGGTCTATTGGAGGAGATAAAATTAGAATAAAAAGTTATTTTATAATAAATTTTTTTAGGTTCATAATAATAATATTGTACCTATGTATTAATTAACTTTAATCCTTTAGTTCCACCAGTGATCGTCATAAGAAATCAGCTAGTAGGAGCAGCTCTGGGTTCAGACCTCGTCATCGAATGTGAGACCGAAGCATATCCGAAACCTGTCAGTTACTGGAGTCGAGACAGCGGTGAAATCGTTCCTGTTGGTTAGTTACTTTTAATATTCAAGAAAGCAGATAATTCCAAATTAAATTAGTGCATAACTAAATACACACACACAAACATACACACTAACATATATATACATAAATTTTGTCATTTAAAGTATCACGTGCAATCGTATTCCATATACGTTCCATATATTTATTTAGAACACTTTATATTTCTTGGCCTTACTTATGTCGAGGTCAAATTATTTTATAAATGTTTTTTTTTCGTTTATCGACACGACAGAATCTCGCGATAAGCTTTTATTTATATCGCGTATATATATACCCAAATATAAGACCGTGTAATGTTTTTATGAATGTGATATCTGATATATAATTATTAATCTAATATACATATATAAATTAACTTACATATATATATTTTAACAAAGTATTGAATGACCGTATGTTTTTCTTCGTGATCGCGTGTTTTCTTTCATGAGCAATAATAATAGCTATAACTTTTTATATTGATAAAAATCGTAGCAATAAAATTTAATTAAATAATCAAAATATAAATGTGTTTCTTAAATAATCCAATTGTTACTTGTATATTGTCGGTATGCAGTTTGTGGGTTATAACATTAGGTATTTTTATTTAATAATTGTATAAACGTTTGCATACCTAAACAACAAATCTGAAATGTCAAAGCTGCTTTCTAATTTGGTTTATTTTATTGAAATAATCTTGCAGTAAATACAATCAAAACCATAATCAATTTCTCCCTCTCTAATCCTGATACAAACATATACACATATTTTTCATTTGTGGTTAATAAAAATCGATCTAAAATCGTTTAAGCCTGATTTCTCTTACATTAGGTGGAAGTTTAGAGCCTCAGAAGATATCCGGCTCGTATCGGTCAGTACTCAGACTACCAATACGAAGAGTTACCAGTGCAGATTACGGAACTTACAAGTGTGTCTCTAAGAACTCGTTGGGCGATACAGAGGGTTCAATTAAGTTGTATCGTGAGTACATTAGTTCTGGCTTAAGTTCCTTGTACTTAATTGTTCTTCGTAATAATACTAATCCAATTAAGATATTGTGTATCGCATCATGCGAATATGTATAATCTATTAATTGTAAGACAGTCTATCTGTATGGCCTTTGATTTTATTGATATTTCATACTGATGTTTAAAGAAAGGATATGTTTTGGTCATATCCCAAATTGAAAAAGTTTTTTTATTGCTTTAAGTTCAATACTATTAATGCACAAAATATTGTTTAATACCAAATCATTAACTACTTCATTTCAACTAACAATTCTCTTTAAATTTGTTGTTTAAAAATCTATTTCAGTTTCTTTGTCATTTTTCACTGTAGCGATCTTTGTTTGTCGTTTCTCTGAATGCGCGTTATCGAGTTTGTTCAGTGGCAACTTAACATTGTATGTTTTGTTAGTTTTCTTTTTGTTGGCGTATTTATAATGTTGAGTTCTCCTTTAATAAATATACATCTATAGTAGTTATTTTATGTTCATATTGTCGGCCATCGTCAATATTTTCTACGTATGTCAAAAGTTTGGAAGCTTCGACTATCACGAACCTTCAGACTATATTCGTGTATGTTTGTTGTGGTTAGTTGGTTACATACCTTTAATAGTCTACAAAGTTATAAATGTTTTACCCTCGAAGCATTGAAATATTATACTATTTTATAAATGAATGAGTTCTATTTTAAACACTACTAAGAACAACTAGCAAAAACAAGTTGAGCATACTAATACATAGTTATCTAAATTTGATACGAATATTTTATACTGAATTGAACTTAATACACATTGTTTTCAAATATTACAGCAATGCAACCACCGGCCATGGATAATCGAAATGGTTTGTAATTTCATTTAATAAATTTTATATATTATACTATATATAGTATATACAATGCATTATTTGACTTATCTAGATAAGTCGGTTATGATTCCTTGAAATTGTTCTACTATATTTTATATAGCATTTTGAATTGGAAATTATGCTGAGGTTTCGATTGGGCGTTTAATAATACTTAAATAAAAGCTTTCGAATCATGTTTAATATATATTGTATATAAAACTTAATGGGTATAAATATCTGTAGATTTCAATGAAAATATATAAGCAAATATGTATCAAAAAGAGTAAGTAGCGTGAGTATTTCCGCTACTTTGAATATTGAACTCCAAGGATTTATATTGAAAATATATTTTTCTACAAATTGACCAATAAGTGAGTTATGATGATTCGTTGTACTTGAAATACTAAAAACAAGGATTTAAAAATTGGAAATATCACGATGAAACAGTATCTATTTCAAATAAATCTCAATGTTCATTAACTAGTGTAGCTTTTAACTCCATTTTTTATTAATGGAAATGTATTATATAAAATATTTTTTATTAAAAAATGTTTTTTGTATTTGTGTTCCTTAAAAATTAGTAAGACTGGTGAATATAATTAATTTAAAAACTACTATCTGATCAATTTGAATATTAATAGTAATCACGAAATAAATGCATATATACATCATAATATGTGCTACAAATTGTTTGACAGCTACTCATTGTTCTCTGCTCAGTTAATTTCATGTGACAAACCGGTATTGTGTTTGTGTTTGAACTCTTAAAACCATTTTAGTAAGTACTTATTTTGCGGGATAAATTTAGAAAATCATTGTTTTTCACATGGGCGTTATATTTCGCGTGTTCACGAGTTTGGAAACCATCCACTTTATTTGTGTTAAAGTTAGACCAAAAAACAAAAAATGTGGTTTACAAAGGACCACTTCAATGAAACGGATAATTTGCGGACACGTATAACGTTTCGATTCGCTATCTACTTTGAATTCACTTTCATTTACTTAGAGAAGTTCAACTAAATAACACTTCATTTTTGTAATCCAAATGAATTCATTACTGTTGTGAAATTAAATAAAAATTTTCCTTTTTAAATATAAAACAAAAAAAAAATCTTCATCTTTTAATCACTAAACGAAATGTTACATAAAAGCCTTCTGGTGGCGAAACGTATATATCTTATATTTGGTAACTAATGAGAAGTTTTAAATTTAACGCTACAAAAACTTTTTTTGTGTTTTTGTGTGAAGACGAAACATATTTATATGTAATTTATTATTAACAGTTATCCAGAAGCTAAATATTGTGGCTGGAAAAGCTTCAGAGATCACGCCGTTTGGCACACAAGGTGGGTTTAAATTTACAGACTATAGCAATTTATTAATTAATTAATAATTAACCCAGAAAAATTTGCTTTCGGCAACCCTGAATAAAGTATTGCCTTTTCATATCCATTCAATTTAATATAATTGTTGAAAATTTCCTTTATTAAATCCTTTTCCTCAATTATATATATTTTTTAAAAATATATCTTAAAAAACGAACAAAAATTCTTTTATCAAAACAAGGTTAATAAGGGATGCTAATTAACAGATCATTACAGATTTCAGATTACAAGATTACAACAAAGGGGTTTTGAAGGATCGTTTTTGTTACCGCATTATGATCACGTTCGTAATAATAAACGTAGTGTTAATTTAAAAAGGAATAAAGTATATACAGTTACTCTTTTCAATTAAATCTGTACACAACTGTACATATACTTAGCTAATAAATATCATGTATATTATGTAGTAGTTTTGATTGTCAATGTTTATTTAGTCAGAACATGAAATGAAAATACCAGTGTACGACTTCAAAAGATTTATTTGTTAAAACTTTTTTTTTATCAACAAAACAAAAGTTTTCAGTAAAATTTTGATTCATAGAATTTCATTGAATTCTAGAATGTTCTCTGTTATAATAACAAGAGTAGAGAAAAATATGTGTATTAAATGTATAACTAAGTGGTGTATAAAAAAAGTATGAAATAATAGCTTATAGTTAAGTTAAATACAAACTTTTATTAAGCACACCTCTCATATGCAACAAAGACTGGAAGTCACAGAATGTAAGTCCTAATGAGTTTCGAGGACCCTTGCAATTACCTTTGCTGTGCTTTTGTAATTAGAGCTTTTTAGTTGACATTTCATTTTAACTGTAGAGTTTCACCATACCAGTTCTTTAGCAGAGTTGTAAAGACTTAGATGGAGTAGTCTTTAAGGTGTTTGTAACTAGACGTTATTGGAACGTGTAACATCGTCAACAATTTTTGTTAAAAATCAGTACAAACACTTACTTAAATAAATAATTGTCAAAATTATGTACGTAAAGTTACATATCAAGAAGAAAATATAAAATTATTAAAATGTAAATATTTGATATGTCGAAATATTATGATAGTTTATGGTAAAAGTATAGACTGAGTTTGTATGGAATGAGGCGTGTGTAGTATTATAATATTTCTGTGCTTAAGGTCCAAAATAAATCATTTTTAGACATCCAATTATGTGAACAATAGCGTATCGATAGCATATTTATCATAGCAATGGTATTTATGTTGCTGGCTTCTAAGAAAAATATTGGTTCCGTCTGTTGAATTCCTATTTTTGTATAGCTTTATTTGTGATCCAATAAAAGTATTAAATTCAAAACGGTTCATTGTAATTCATTTGAAAACCTATGCAATTTTGTTTTACCACAATTGGCTAGGAAGTGTATTTCATAGAAATATGTAGTAATCTTGAATATCTGAACTAATATCATTTGAAATATGAGTGTCTATTTTTTTTTGTGTTTATATTTAGCTGCAAGATTTTATTTAGATATTTGTAATTCAATCATTTTCATATTTCCATGATTTTTTGTTAAATATATAAGCAAATAACTTATATATTGGTATGCAATTTGATTTACGATAGTAGTGTATTTCGATTTAAACAATTACAATACAATTTGGAAATTGTACAGTTAATCAAATTGCTTTTTGTAGTGTAGCGTACAAAAGTAAGAGTAAAAAATGATTATTCAATCTGTATCATGCGATTATTACTTAATACATTTACTACTGCAATAGAGGCTTTTATTTTACTAATATTAATTTTTCTGTACAAAACCATTATTTCATGTTACTTCATTTTATTTTTAATTAAGAAAATTTTGTTAAACGCGGACCACTCACGCTAATTAGTAAAAAATAAATTAAAATAGTTTCTATAAAATTGGTTTTATTTGAACCCTTTTTTCTGAAAAAAGATGATTATTGTATTTGAATAAAATCGCAGAATATTTATTGGACTATAGTGAATCTGGAACTAATGTTGAAGTAATGAAGTTAAATGCCATTGCAATGATTTGCACTAATATACAAGATTCTTGATATCATTTGTTAAACCCAATCTACTTATATAAAATATTTAGTTGAATAAAATAGAAGAATGAAAAGTTTATGAAAATCTAGGAATAAGTCAGTAAATTACCAATAACCTGTTTGTATATCATATGCGTGGGGAATTTACTAAAAATCTGCTAAGTTCTTTTAAAGAATGACTGCCAAAAGAAAACATTACAATTCGAATTATGCAAAGTGAAAATGCTATTTTTCAAAGATTAAATATGTATTCCTTTATTTTAAAATTGATAAGTCAAAGACAAACAACATTAAACACGGTCAAAGACCCGAATCAAACGACAAATTAAATTTTACATAATAAGTCATATCACCGGTCAGTCAAGCGAAATGTAATTTACGATAGTTAGGGTGGTTTGGCTATACTCATTAATTGGTATTCGAGACATCGCCTTTACGTTAAAAGGGATTCGAAGTTCGTTAAAGTTGACATATTTGTATTAGGAAAGGACAAGTAGAATCGCGCTATGTATATATAAGTCTTATTTTTAATAGAAACGACTGCAACTTTAAAGCTACAATGCGAGTTAAATTAATAAGTATAACTTTTAATTTTAAATTTTGTACGGTTTAAAACAAGTGTTGTTTCAATCTATTAGATTAGAATCAAAGGTTTATTGCATTTGGGGCAAATTAAAAAGTAGAAACCAGTACATAGAGTAGTTCAATTTCACAAGTACGTTTTCGAAAAGCTGCAAGAAATGATTCATTAGACTCGCAGAAGTTTCAAAATAAATGAAATAAATTAGGTAATAGATAAATATATATATAAATCAAGATAATACTAACAATTCATGATCATATATCTCTTCCAAGTGTAAGTAATATTATGGATTCTATGAAACTATAAGGGAACAGCTCTATTAATTAAGACAAGTGTATGAAAATAGAACTATTAGTTGAAATTGTGAAATGATATCTGTAAATTGTGAGTTTGAAGGCATTTAAAGGATTCGGAAATCCGAATAGAAATAAACCTTTCACTGCTGACAGCTAAATTGAAAGGACTAAAATAGTCTGCTTCTCTTACTATTCTTGTGTCTCGTTTTTAGGGTAAGTACAATTTTAAATTATTATTTCAATTACAAGCTACTTATCTCTAACATGTCAAAAGTTAGAATAATGAGTTGCATCATAAATAATAGTGAAAAACATATTTAGTGGAACTGTAAAAAGGCTTTCTTAGGAGGTTTTGAATAATTGAATTCACTAATATTAACTTAAACTAATAATGTGAATACTAAGAAAGAATAAAATACACAAACAAATCCACGAAATTGGTTTCATGTGGCAAAGCGCCCGGAATGCGAGTTTAAAGTATTTCCTTCTTCATGCAATCAGGCAACTGCCCCGCCTCCTTATACAGAAAGTTAATAAAAAGTGAAAAAAAAACTACAATAAATATAATTTGTTATTAAGTGAGAAAAATAACAAATTGTTATTTGGAAATAAAGAGACAATGATAGCAATTTACATTAATTGAAATTTAACAAAAGACATTGTATATGAAAAGGTTTTATTATTTGTAACTTAAAACACAGGCAACATATTTTGAGTTA